TTATTCCTGGCTGACCAGCACATTTTGTAGGCATAGACACATCTTCAGTTTAGAAAGCCCCAGAACCCAGTGGATATATCACCTACACACATTGCAAAATGAACAAACAAAAAGTCAAAACTGTGACATTGTTTCTTCCCTCCCTCCTTCCTTTCTTCCTTCTTTCTTTTTTTTTTTTTTTAATATATTTTGTTTGCATAGGGACAGGTACCCACATGGAGGTCAGAGGGCAACTTGAAGCCATCGGTTCTCTCCTTCCACAATGTGGGTCCTAGAGATCGACCTCAGGCCTAGTGGTAGGTGCCTTTACCCACTTGCTGGCACCTCTTCTTTTTCTTATCCCAGGCCAGCCTGGAACTCACTGTGTAACCAAGCTGGTCTGGAACTTGAAATTCTCCTGCCTCAGCTTCCCAAGTATGGGTGATAGCCAACATGCCCGATTTACATCTTTTAAATGCAAAATTACTAATGTATTTCTTCCCAAAAAAGTATTGGATAGAGGCTGTCTAACGTACCTTGCTGGATTTCCCACACCTGGAACATACTCTGTTCCAGGTAGCCCTATTCTATTGAACCCTGATTTTCCCTCAATCAGCTCACAACCTTGGCTACGAATCTCAAGGATCTCCCATAAACCCTCAGGAAGCCTGAGGCTGATGCTGTGACTAGAAACCAACTCAGTTCCCTTTTCCTGTTATGTTGTCTTCAAGAGTGGCCTCTCTGTAGACACCTATAGACTTCTTTTTAAAGATAGGGTCACCCTATAGCCCCAGCTGGCTTGGAACTTGCTATGTAGATCAAGCTGGCCTTGATCTCACAGTGATCCACCTGCCTCTTCCTCCTCAGTGCTGGGATTAAAGGAGTGTGTCATCACTCTGGGATTAAAAGTGTGTGTCACCATGCCCAGCTGGATTTGCTAAATTTTATTTTTGTTTTATATGTATGTGTTTTGCCTGTATGTATATAAACACGCCCCTGTCATGCAGTGCCCATAGAGGCCAGATGAGGATGTTAGATCCTCTGAAACTGGAGTTTTGGACAGTTGTTCAAAACCCAGCCACATGGGTGCTGGGAATCGAACCTGGGTCCTCTAGAAGAGCAGTCGGTGCTCTTAACTGCTTTGCCATCTCTCCAGCCCCTACACTTACTAATTTTTTAAAGACAAAATGTGATAACAGTAAGCAAAAGGATGATTATATAAAATACAAATACTCAGATACAAAAATTACACCTATGATTAATTGTGCTTAATAAACACTGAGTTAATGAGCAAATGCATATTCTAGGGGACTGGTCGTATTCTCTCCATATTTCTGTGTTGAGATACAAACATTTGCCGTCCTCAAGCAGGCTTCTTGTTTGCATTTGAAGGTTCTTTTCCACCTGTTGTTTTTCGCTAGTTCTTTCTTTGAGATGATCTTGCTATATAGCTCAGACTGGCCTGGAGCTCCCAGTCCTCCTGCTTTAGCTTCCCAAGTGATTCAAGTACAGGAACCACACCAGGCGGAATACTGGCTGCATAGACGACTGTGTTTGTACCTTAGCCTTTATTTCTTCTGTCTTCCCACAATCTTGCTGCAAGTCTTGTTTAGTTTTGTTCATTGCTGGACTGTTCTTTTTTTTTTTTTTTTCTACAGGGTGTCTCTATGTAGCCCTGGCTGGCCTGGAACTCACTATGTAGACCAGGCTGGCCCAGAAGTCACAGAGATCCATTCACCTGCCTCTGCCTCCGGAGTACTGGGGTTAAAGATGTACACCACTACGCTCAACCTGTATCTTGAATACTGGGCATGTTTTGCTTCATTCCAGTCTCCTTATGTAGCCCAGGCGGGCCTTGAATTGCAGTCCTTCTTAGCTTCCTCAGTATTGTGGTTACAAGCCTGTGCCACCATGTCCAGCTAGACTGTGTACATATTCCAGTTTCTACTGTATGTGCAGCGTTCAGTGTGGACTAGAGAAAGCGGTAATCTGATTGAAAAATAAATAAAAAGCAAATGTCCCAGGAAGTGCCCATGTACATGTGGAAAAGTTAATTGGCTCCTGCCTCCTTATGTCTAAGAACCAAGTGTTTTAATTACTTCATTATCTCCACCTTCAGTGGAATTTTCCAGAGCGTCCATTGTGGATCAGGTAAGAAGCATGAAGCTTAGGAAAATTAAGTCTTTTAACAGTTTGGAGATCGATGAGCCAAATGCAACAATGGACCAGTAGAGGGTGGTGTGACCCTCCAACAAATTTAACGTGGCTTCTGTGGCTCTGCGTAAAACAAGACAGTCTAATCAATCAGTGGTTCAGAATCCAGGTTTCAGGGCTGGAGCTGTTGCTCAATGGGAGGGTGTGCATTTATGAGGCCCCGAGTTCCATCCCAGCTCTGAAATAATAAATACTTGAATCATTTTTGTATTTCTACAATGTTCATAGGGGGCTGGAGAGATGGCTCAGCGGTTAAGAGCACTGGTTGTACTTGCAGAGGACAGGGTTCAGTTCTCAGCATCCATAGTGGGTAACAACTGTCCTTAACTCCAGTTCCACTGGCTCTCACGCCATCTTCTGGCTTTCATGGGCACCGCATGGGCACTTCCATACAGGCAGGCAAAGCATTCATATACATAAAAAACATCTTTAAAGCCAGGCGTGGTGGCACATGCCTGTAATCCTAGCACTTGGGAGGCAGAGGCAAGCGAATCTCTGTGAGTTCAAGGCCATCCTGGTCTATATAGTGAGTTCCAGGACAGCTAGAGCCATAGGGAGACACTGCTTCAAAAAAAGACCAAAAAAAAAAAATAATAATAATAATAAAAAAGGTTAAAAAAAAAATCTTTAAAATCTTCACAGAAACTAAACACAGTAGCTAACACTTGTAGTCCTGGTTACTGGGGAGGCTGAGGCAGGAGGCTCCCTTGAGCTCAGAATAAAGGACCAGTCAGGGCAATATAGTCAGACCTCTCCATGATATTTTTTGTTCTGTTTTGTTTTTGAGACCAGGCTAGACCTAAGTTGGGTTCCCAGTATCCACATGGCAGCTTTCAACCATCTGTAACTCCAGTTCCAAGGGGATTTGAGGCCCTCTTCTGGCCTCAGCACTAACATGGTGCACATTCATACATGCAGGCAAAACACTCATACACAAAATAAATTACCAATAAATCTTTAAAAAAAAAAAAACAACAACAAAAAATAACACACAAAAAAACCTTAGGGCTGGTCATGGTGGCTCATGCCTTTAATCCCAGCACTTGGGAGGCAGAAGCAGACAGATCTCTGTGAGTTCCAGGCCAGCCTAGTCTACATAGTGAATTCCAAGCCTGTTAGGGTTACAGGGAGACCCTGTCTCAAAACACACACAAAAAAGCAGAAAACCTGAAAATGGGCACTATGTCCAATTGGTTCAACCTGAAATCGCCACACCTACCAAAATATCAGCACTATTAAATACAAACATTTGTAGAAGGAACTTTCAAAAGCTAGTTTTTAATTTTTTTTCTTTTTTACACAGGTTCTCCCTGTAGTCCCAGCTGGCCTGGAACTCACTAAGTAGACCAGGCTGGCTTTGAACTCACAGAAATCCACCGGCCTCTGCCTCTAGAGTGCTGGGATTAAAGACATGAACCACCATGCCCAGTTTTCATTTTTTTTTTTTAATGTATATGAATGTATTGCCTACTTGTAAGTGCACTCGTGTCCTGCAATACCTGAGGAGGTCAGAAGAGGGTGTCAGAACCCCTGGAACTGGAGTTACCAATGGTTATTAGCCACCATGTGGGCACTGGGATTTGAACCAGGGTCCTCTGCAAGAGCAGTCAGCGCTCTTAACTGCTGAGCTATTTCTTCAGCCATTAAAATATTTTAAGAATATATATATTAGCTGGGTGTGGTGGCACATGTCTTTAATCCCAGCACTTGGGAGGCAGAGGCAGGCGAATCTCTGAGTTCAAGGCCAGCCTGGCCTCCATAGTGAGTTCCAGGACAGGTGGGGCTACAGGAAGACCCTATTTCAAAAAGACCAAATACATATATATGCATATATATATAATTTATTATTCTTATTTTATGTGCATGCATGTATTGCCTGCATGTAGGTAAGTGCACCCATGTTGTGCAATGCCCACAGAGGATAGAAGCTGTCGGATCCCCTGGAACTGGAGTTAGGACAGTTGTTAGCTGTCATGTGGGTGCTGGGATTTGAACCTGGGTCTTCTACAAGAACAACCAGTGTTCTTAACCACTGAGCCATCTCTCCAGCCCCCTAAAATAATTTTTTTATGATATGGAGAAAAGGAGAAAGTTCAGGTAGCTTACAGGGGAGTAACAGGGTTAGACTGTTTTCTTTTGCAGGGAGGGGGGGTTTGTATTATTGTTACATTTTATTTTGGGGAGCGTGACATTGCGTGCATGTGTGTGTGTGTGTGTGTGTGTGTGTGTGATTGACAACTTGGCGTAGTCTATTCTTTCCTTTCACCCAATACAGGCCATTGGGCTTGGCTTGGGGCAAGAGCCTCTACCTGCTGAACCACCTAACAGGCCCAATTGTTTGTTTTTTGAGAGGGGATCTCGGTATACAGACCTGGTTAGTCTGGAACTCACTATGTGGAGCAGGTAGGCCTTGAATTCATGGTCCATCCTGCCTCTGCCTAATGCTGGAAAAACAGACATGTGCTACTAGACCTGCCCAGAGATTCAGTTTTTTGTTTCTTCTCAGCTTAAAATACCAATAACTATTTATGAAATATTACAGAAAGCTAAAAGAAGCAACTGCTGTTTACCCTGGTGCTATATAGTGCTATTTTTTTCTTCTTCCTCCTTTCTCTTACAGTAATAGAAATAGAGGCAGCTTATAAAGTAAAGGCACTAGCAAAGGTGGAAGTGGCTAGTGAGCTGGAAGATGGATGCTTCAAAAGCTCTGATGCTCTTTACTAATTTTTGTGGGGGTTTTTGTTTTGACAGTGTCTTTCTGATATAGCCCAGGCTAGCCTGAACTCAGCTTCTCCTGTAGCCACCTCCTACCTAGGTTTTTCAGCTTTAATTGCCATTTCCTTTCGAACCTGAGGGGAAAAGCACACTGGATTGAGTTTGCTGGGGTGTTCCAGTTCTCACAACGTGGACTCCGGGCTCAGCGGCATACAGGCCGTGGCTCAGTGACTTCCATGCACTTGCCTCTCTGGGTAAAGGACGAGGTTAATTCCGCTTTGAATAAACGTACTCCAGAAAATCTGGAGCCCAGCGTGTAAACTGCAAAGCAAAGGCACACTGTTGCCAAACAGGCTGAGGGGAGCAGCTCAAGCAGGAGAAAAAGAGAATTTGTTAAATAAAGAAGTCAGCTGGGATCAGACTTAAAAGCTTCAAGCTAGTTCAGGAAGCCAGTTACCTAAGGCAAGGAAAATACAGGCATTTGAATTAATTCCCTTGGTGTGAGGCTGAAGCAAAAGCTCAAGTCACACAGCCTCTAGGATGCCTCAGACTATTACCATTACTGGGTGGGACGTAATCTGTGATCCTACGAAATGTGAAATCAAGAATGGTGAAATCAAAAATGATCAAGATTATTTTTAGGAGTGAGACTGCAGCTCCAAGGGAGAGCACTTACCCAGCAGGGAGGAGGATTTACTTCCTACAACACATATCCTATTAAGTTATTTAAATGTATTGAACACCAAGACACAAAGCCTAGTGGCCTACCTGTGGAAGGCTGTGACAGTGACCCATCTGGTACACACCAGCCTTCTCTCTTGATGCTAATGGTCACAAGAATAAAGGACGATAAGAATTTGAGAATTAACCAGGGCTCAGCCCAAGGACGTGCCCCCAGCCACTATGTAAATGTACACCCTGAGGACAGGACTCCGGCCACCAAAGTGGCTGTCTCCTTAACAGACACGACTAAGGAACACACCTGCAGAATTTTGAGCAGGAAAGGGTCCCACCAGCGAGTGCATTGTGGACCTTATAACTCACAGGTAGGGATGTTTGCTAGTAGGCTGTCAGTAGGCAGCTTTTGCTTCTTCCAAGCCTTTTGTTCTGTGATGTACTTTAATACAAATTTACCAATTTATGTGTAACATGTTATTTGTTTCCTCTTCCACAGCCAAACTGAACATTTACACACAGCTACACCCGATTTGACTATCTTTTCTCTCTTCTACAAATTAAAATCTTTTCCAGTTATTAGCCTCCGCCCTTAAATCCCAACCTCACTTTAAAATTTTGTGTGTTGCCTGCATGTGTGTACCCGTGCCATTGCAATGCCTGCAGAGCGTCAGATCCCCAGAAACGGGAACTACAGATGGTTGTTAACCACTATGTGGGTGCTGGGAATCCAACCTGGGCCCTCTGCAGTAGCAATCAGTACTCTTAACTGCCGAGCCATCTCTCCAGGCCAACCTTTCTTTTTGAGACAGGGTCTCCTTCTACCCCAGCTGGCCTGGATTCACTATGGTGATCAGGTTGGCCTTGAACTCACAGAGATCCACACACCTGACTCCCGAGTGCTGGGATTAAAGGCATGTACCACCACACCCAACCTCACTTTTTAAACCTCATATCCTTTCCCATTCTCATTAATCTGCTCATAACACTTGACATTCCCCCAAGGGACTAGGGGTGGAGCTCAGTTTATAATCAAATCAGGAATCTCAGGGTTTAATCCCCAGAGATATTGAGGCTCTGCAGTTCCTGCTGTGTGATCTCACAGAAGCACCCAACACAGACACAGAACACTGCAAGTGAACTCCACTCCCTTATTATCAACTCCTGTCATAGGTGAATAAAAACCATTCCTTAATGACCACACCCTAATTCCTGTCGGTGGATGCAATGTGACCAGCTAGCTCCAGTCACCATGTTTTCTCCACTGTGATGATATAATCCTCCAAATCTGTGAGCCAAAACAAACCCTTCAGAGATCAGAACAGAGGGGGAGTAAAGTCCTTGTTAATAGCTGTCATTTTTCGGGGCTGGAGAGATGGCTCAGCAGTTAAAAACCCTGGTTGTTCTTGCAGAAGACCTGCCTCCTCTGTCCTCCGCGGGCATTGCACAACTCAGCTGCACTTACTACATGCAGGCAATACATGCATACACATTAAAAAAAAAAATCTGTCATTTTTCATCAAGGACAAGTGCTGTTTTCTAAGACTTACAACTCAATCCAATTGAATTACATAGCAGAACTTAATCCAAAGCAAAGACAAGCAGCAATTAGCTGTGCAACAGAAGCAGCATGGAGGCCTAATGCATACCTAACCTGGAGGCCAGGCAAGGTGGTTCCTGTGGAGAACCCAAGCCTCCACCTAGCACTGCAGAGGTGGAGGCAGAAGGATGGGGAATTCAGGCATCCACAGCTACACAGTGGATGAGTGAATTGAGGCCAGCCTCCGCTACAGGAGACTGTCACAAAAAACTGAGGAACACAAAAATAGATGCCTATACTTGGGATTTCTCGTGCTCTATCATTTCATCACAGGCTTTTCTGACTCTAGTATCATTTATTTTCTCAGTTTTCCTGGTGCACCATTATATGCACTTAGCTAGCACCAAGAATGTACTTTCCACAATGAAACTTAGGTCCTTGCGCATGGTAGGCCAGCTTGACCACTGTTCATTACTACTCAGCAAATGAATTTTACTAAAAGATTTTTAAAGGTAAAGGTAGCCCTGGCTGCCCTGGAACTCGCTATGTACACCAGGCTAGACTGAAACTCAAAATCCGCCTGCTTCTGCCTCCTGAGATCTGGGATTTAAGGTATGTACCACCATACCACCCAGCAGTTTAAACACAAGAGGAAAAAGAAAGCCAGCGAGGTGGCATATGCCTTTACTTTAATCCCAGCACTAGGGAGGCAGAGGCAGGAGGACCTCTGTGAGACGGAGGCCAGCTTGGTCTGCATAGCCAATCCCAGGCCATCTGGGGCTACAGGGAGACCCCGTCTCAAAAAAACCAAAGCAGCAAAGAAACCACAGGAGGCTCTTGAGGCCAGCTTGACGGAGACACACCACACGCATACACAGTACCAGTATCTACCCACATCTTTATTGACTCACTAGGTAAAAGCAAGGCAGGAATGACACCACCCAGCTTGGTCTGCATAGCCAATCCCAGGCCATCTGGGGCTACAGGGAGACCCCGTCTCAAAAAAACCAAAGCAGCAAAGAAACCACAGGAGGCTCTTGAGGCCAGCTTGACGGAGACACACCACACGCATACACAGTACCAGTATCTACCCACATCTTTATTGACTCACTAGGTAAAAGCAAGGCAGGAATGACACCACTAAAGGTAAAGTTGGTGTTTTATTTGAATTTAAACTAGTCAAACTGGTACTGATTTTTCTTGATGTGTCAAGTATAAAAATTTTCCTACAAACGTTAATGAACAAAGTGGGGCTCATTGTGAGATCTTCCAAAGGATGAGGAAGCAACCAAGCAGATTGCAAACAGGAACAGTCTTCAATTACCAAACACGAAATAAAAGCATGGCACACAGCTTTAGTTTTGTTGAGATAGGATCTTACTACACATAAGTAGTTCAGGTCGATTTTGAACTTGTATATATATGCAGTCTAGGCTGGTTATGACCCGCTACCATACCTGGATACGTTTGTTTAATTTTAAAAATTTATTTATTTTTGCTTTGTGTGTACGAGCATTTTACCTGCCTGTATGTAAGTTACACCTGTGTTGTGCAAAGCTTGCAGAGGCCATTAGAGTGCGTCGGATTCCCCCAGAACTAGAATTACGAATGGTTGATAGCTGTGATGTGGGTGCTGGGAATCAAACCTGGTCCCTCTGAAAAATCGGTCAGTGCTCTTAACCACTGAGCCATCTCTCCAGTCCCTACCTAGATACATCTTTATACGTTTATTTCCTACACTTTTAGATTCTACATCCTGAAGCTACCTAACTTAGACTGGGTCTGTAGCTAGAGCCATCCTATGTATGTATGTCTGGTCTGCAGCAGGAAGAGCTACTCAAGTCCCCTTCATCAGACTCCAATTAACAAGTTGAGATACCATGTATACAAGTGGATCCAAGATTCCAAGTAAGACAAGCCTTGTGTAGCCCAGTCCATGAGTACTTGCCTAACACATACAAAGTGCTTAGTTCACCCCTCGCACAACACCAAAGAAAAAGACACAGCTACACAGCTCAGAAACAAATGTACCAATACCAGGCCACAAATATAGCTCAGTGGTAGGTAGAGCAGGCACCTAGCATTTTCAAGCTTAGATCTCTAGCACCAAAATAAAATAAAATAAAATAAAGACAAAACTATAAAAATCTTTGAGCTGGGCGTGGTGTTGCACGCCTTTGATCCCAGCAGTCGGGAGGCAGAGGCAGGCAGAGCTCTGTGAGTTCAAGGCCAGCCTGGTCTACATCGTGAGTTCCAGGACAGCTGGTGCTACAGGGAGAACCCTATCTCAAAAAGACCAAAAAAAAAAAAAACAAAAACAAAAACTTCGAAAGAAGGAAGGCACTCAGTCACTGCCCTGAAACTGAGCACCGCTCTTCTCACGCTTCACCAGGTGGTGAATTCACTGAGTAGTTAGTCAAACTGGTACTGATTTTTCTTGATGTGTCAAGTATAAAAATTTTCCTACAAACGTTAATGAACAAAGTGGGGCTCATTGTGAGATCTTCCAAAGGATGAGGAAGCAACCAAGCAGATTGCAAACAGGAACAGTCTTCAATTACCAAACACGAAATAAAAGCATGGCACACAGCTTTAGTTTTGTTGAGATAGGATCTTACTACACATAAGTAGTTCAGGTCGATTTTGAACTTGTATATATATGCAGTCTAGGCTGGTTATGACCCGCTACCATACCTGGATACGTTTGTTTAATTTTAAAAATTTATTTATTTTTGCTTTGTGTGTACGAGCATTTTACCTGCCTGTATGTAAGTTACACCTGTGTTGTGCAAAGCTTGCAGAGGCCATTAGAGTGCGTCGGATTCCCCCAGAACTAGAATTACGAATGGTTGATAGCTGTGATGTGGGTGCTGGGAATCAAACCTGGTCCCTCTG